CCCAATTCATTTCTTTCCTTCTGATTAGCCTCCTCCTTGCTGCCTAGCTGGTTTGTAAGGAATCCCAATAAATACTAAGGAGATAGCATTTATATCACAATAAAACACACAAACAATTGTTTCCATCTTCACACAGTACAGGTTGATGTGCCCCTGCCCCATGGTTTCTAATGTCTATTAATCAGCCATTCCATAGCAGCTGGAGTAAATGCATTTTGCAGTATGTGATATATTGTTGGTAACAGATAAGAGATTTACTGCAAAAATTAAATCCTTGCAGTCTACATGTACTGTGAATCCAAATTTAGAACAGAATACCAACACTGTAGTCAAAATGAGACAAGAGAAAGCCCATTCACATTCTTATGCAGAAAGCAGTGATCTTCTGCTGTTTATACAAAGCTCTCTTTTGAGTAAAAATCAGATTTCTTCACATGAAAAAGGATTTCTTCACAGAATTCTTTTACATGGTATGAAGAACAAGTCACTGTTTAAGTCATTCCCTAAGCCAAGTTTACTAATAGCTTCTCTTGGGAATCTGGCTGCATCCAATTAGCAAGCAGCACGGCAAATATCTGCAGGCCTTCTTTATTATACTGTGCAAAAAGTACAAAAGGTGAGGAAAAGTGCTGCCTAATTTCTGCCAGTACTAAAGTACAAGTATCATCTAAATAGGTAGCTGTCACACTTAAGTGGACAATTCTTTTTTTAAAAAATGAAGTATTGAAATGATGCTGCACCCCAAATCATGGGTTTTCAATATTCCATTTATCTAAATTACTCAGAATGGGTAGGGATTTGGACTATATATATCCACCACATACACACTCCTAGTCCTCCACAGCCCTACAAGAGTTGGTAGTCAACATATGCAAAGTTAACAGTACAAAACTAAACAAGTTTATTTAACATCTGATTTATCCCCCCAATTCACATTGTTCTGCTCAGACATGCAAGCCTTGGGGTTTACAATGTTTGCCTTACAAACATGGTGTATATTCTAATGTCCAAATTCTTCTCTGGGATGGGATTTTAACCTAAATAATTGCCTCTCTCCCCTTCCTATTTGTCTGCTCTTCCACTCTTTCATACCTACAAAGACCTAAATATCCTTTCCCTCTTCTTCAATGCATTGTCATGGGCTTTAGGAATACCTGCAGAGAGGTGGAAGTAAAAAGGAAGGGTCTGAGAAGTGACATAATCTCTTAGAGAAACAAAAGCTATTAGACGTTAGTCCAGATACTGTGAGCTGGTGCCCTGTTTGTCAGATGTCATAGTGGAGAGACACTTTCCTTCCCATCTTTCTCCAATGTTCCACCACTGCTGTCTCAACACCGCTAGGCTGGAAATAAGGAATATGAATAGGTGACAGTAAAAACCTGGACCCCAAAGAGGAAAGTTTTGCAAGCAAACAGGAATGTAGGTTGATGGTACAGAGGCCAAAATGGGTTTGTCATTTTCTCCTTTTATGTTCAACTAAGATTGAAGTCAGTGGAAATCTCATCCAGCTAAATGTTAAGCTGAAAAGCTGAACTATGTATCAATAAAATGAACTGCAATCTCGCTTCCAAAAGGAATCTTTATTATTCATTACCATACTTTTTCCAGATTCAGAATTGTCATGGAACTTGGCATGTGCTCTCAGTCGATATCTTCAGGATCCAGCCAGAGATACAACATGGTTTGACCTGCAGACATAGCAATGTCTTCATCCAGTTAATTCTTAGTTGCTATCAGACATGTTGGATTGCTACTAGCATTGCTGATTTTTGTAGGCATGCCATCATACCAAATGTTGCCCTTAGGCTAGCCCTTCATCAAACACTAGTTTCCATCTAATGAGGCTTGTATGTTGCTGCATATATTGTTGTGGTTTAGATCTTAGACATACTGTATACATTTACAGGCCCAGAGCAAGGGTTGAGAAACAGGGGCTATATGCAGCCCCCTTTTTTGTGAGGTGAGGTCTTCACCATTGAAAACACTGCCAAGCCATTGAAAGTAGCCATTACAATAGAAGCATCACTGCTACATATTTTTTCAACAAGTCACAGAGTAGCAGAATACTGCTTTAAACAAAGCATGTGGTCCCTGCACAACTTGTTCTTTAAGGGAAAAAAAGCTTGCTTGTGTGTGTGTGTGTGTGTTGCCACAAGTTCACCCTAGCTTTCAGAGATGCAGTAGCAATTTTTCCACAACAAGTTTGATCTTCTGCTATCATACTGCTGCACAGCTAAAATCCAGTGGAATGACAACAATGTTCAGTGCCATTGGGATGCACGTCCTAGAGATTGTCTATCGCAAGCTTATGAATTGTTGCAGATTAATCAGACCATTTGGTACACAACCAGTTGTGCAACTAGCATCTTGTTAAGGAGCAGCAATCTGCAGCCAAGAATTGCAGAAGTTCCCTTATGCAAATGGAAGTCTGTCCAACTTTTTTAATAATACGGTGATCGCTGCAGTTTCTGTATGGAGCCATGATTGCATTTCTAATGTTTCCATTTCCTTATCCCTATATAATGGGTGTTCAAATGGAGGGCTAAGAAATATTGTGTCTAGACAAAGACTGGATCCTTGCCAAAAATATCAAAGGGACTTCTAAATCCAAACCACTGCATCTTAGCTTGTAGTTCAGCTGCAGACCTGATGTTTAAACTTTTCTTTTTGCAGCCCCACTCACAGATGTTACACCTAGCCACAGTGGTTCAGCTATGCTGATGCTGCTATCTGTATTGTTTGTGGGACTGGCCGTATTTGTCATCTACAAATTCAAAAGGTATGACTCCCCCCTTCTCTCTTTTCTGAAAAGTCTTCTGTCCGGTGTGAAAGCAAAACGCTAAAATAGCCATAGTGGTTGCATCAACAATGGTTTCTGTTAATGTTTTAGGAAGATTCCGGGCATTAATGTTTATGCACAGATGCAGAATGAGAAAGATCAAGAGATGGTCAGTCCAGGCAGTCAAAGTGAAAGCATGCCTAATGCCCCTCAGAGCGAGCTGATGATCCCAGAGCAACTAGTAGATGAGAAGTTGGATACCGGGCTCATAGGTAAATAAACTACAGAAGCCAACAATTGGTCAAAATCTGCATTCTGATTGGCTACCTCTATTCTGAAATTCTATTCTGAGTCTTCCAACCTTCTCTGCTAAACTGCTCGCTATCACTGTTGTTCTATTAATCTCCCTAGATTACTCTAAACTAATTCCAGACTCTTTCTTCTTCCTGTTCTGCTTGGTGAATTAGAAAATTGCCAGTGAAGTTTCATTGCTGTAATAGATCTCTCTTTCTTCCCTCCCGCCCTCTCCCTCTCATTATAAAGAAGTACATGTGCAATCATGAAGGACTGTATGTTCAGGAAAATGTTTCTTAGTGTCTGATTCACGGCTTTTGCCATCGATTTCAACAGAACTGCTGATGTTGCACCAGTTAATGAGCAAAAATACAAAACCCCTCCCTGCATACCTCCCAATGAATTTCATACCCACCCACGGCAAATTAATTGTGTAATGATTTTACTTGTTTTTTTTCATATGATTTACTTCTAGCCTATACTGTGGCTTGACTAAAGACTATGGTCTGCTCTGTGGGTCTTTAGGTCCTCCGTGGGCAATGGGACACTGAAGGTACCCATGGAGTTGATCACCATACATGGGAGAGCAGCCAGTGCAGTCAACAAGAACTTTATTATAGAATGGTATATATAGACTACCATTATGGGAACATCTGCCTTTTAGTTCTTTTCACCTCCCGCAGTTCTTTCCTATGCAGCTCAGTAGTTCACTCTCACTCCACTGGGATGAAGTCTACTGAGTGGTTGCCAACACCCCCAGCCCTTTAATATCCAGATCCTTTCTCCTGTTCATCTTGCACCAGAGACTGAGATTGCACCAGAGTAGGAGAGGACCTCCAGGTGCCATGGGGCCATCCTGCCACTACAGAGCATCACTCCACAAATCCTCTATTTTTCCTCCTCTTTGCTTTCTTCCCCCAATGCCCCCAGATTCCTCACCCTTTATATATTGCTCCACCACTCCCTTCCTAAAGGTTCCTTTGCTTTCCTACCTTCTGACACCTCTGGTTCTCACACTGTCCTTGAAGTGTCTCCTTATGAGGGCTTGGACCTCCATGGGTAGAGCTCTGGTGACAGATGCCAAGTGTAGCTTTCTCCTTTCTGGGTGCTCTCAATGACTGTGGAAGGCATCAAGGTTGATCCTTGTCGGATTGCTACCCATCCACTCAAAACAACTGGTCACTTTATTAGTGGTTGTCCTCCATTAGCTCAGTTGATTTTGGCAGGATATTAGTGGACCTTCTTCAAGATACCAGCCTGAGAATTGAGCCAAATAAGACAAATGGAAACAACATGCATCTATTTGAAGCATTGTCTGGCCTGCTAGCATTGATCAAACATTATGTCACTGCAGGACACATATAAGCATGTAAGGTTACTGGTGGTCTCTAATATTTTGTCACATACCTGTGCCTGAACAGAAATCCAGAGGACATAATAAAAGTCTTCTCACCAGCCAGTGGCTGAAGTTTTCTTGCTTAGCATGGAGAGTCACACTAGAGATATCCCAGTGAATCAGTGGGATTTAGTGAGTCAGCTGTTATGTAAGTACCATTTGTTCAAATGGACCTACTGTTAATTGGAATTTACTACATACAAGTAAGTTGCAACTAGAATAAGTTCATTTGAATCTATGGCACTGATGGACTTACAAAATCCTGATTGAATCAGTGGGACTCCTCTCCTATGACTTATTACACTAAGCAACAGGATTTTAGCCACTGAGTCATCTTCACAAGTGTCGTGGTAATTATTCATTATCTTGGTGGGACATTTCCATCTTCCCTCTGTCATCTTGTGAATATCTGCTTTTGCTCTCTTGTTTATTCAGAAGCTGTTTTTTAAAGTCAGGGGTTCATAGAAAGTGCAAAGAGTGAAAACAGACTGAAAGTAATTAAATGGTGGTCAGAAAATGAGGGGATACTGAAAGTCAATCATAGAATGTCTGAAAGTGAAAAGGAGAAGATAACCACCAAAATGGTAGGAAGATATTAGCAAAGAGCAGGCAGAAATACTTTGAAAAATAAGGAATGTGAAAAAGCCAGATGGGAGGCTGAACCAGTATGAATCATGAAATAAAGCTAACAGAAAAATGAGGAAAGGTGACTCATTGTTTAGGAATCTTGGCTCAAGATGAAAAGGAAGATAATCAATTAGCAAATGGGCATTAATAAAGCAGCAATGTATAAGTAAAAGTAAACAGTATATATATATGAAATGAAGGGAAGGAATGGGGTAGCAGAATGAAAAAAGGAAGAAATCACGCATGGATGCACGCACGCACGCACACCAGAAATTGTGTCAGAAGAAGAAAAGCACATGAAGAAGATCAATCTTATAATACAAAGGGCTCCAGCTCAGGGGATGGTGCAAAAAGAAAAGGGGAAGAGAAAAATGACAAAAATGTATGTAGTTATATGAGGAGTGAAAGACTATGCAACAGGCAGAGTTCAAACACAGATTCCCCAGTTACCAAAAGCAATGGGCTGGCAAGCAGAGATAGATCAACTAAAGAAAGAACTAGAGAAAAAGAGAAAACCCAATGGTCCAGAGCAAAAAAAAAGCAGAAAAAGAAAAGGAAACCATGTTTGACGGGCAGTGAAGACAGAAACAAACAGTGACCCATCAATAAAAACCAGTGAGAGTGAAGACTTGGTTACTTTCCATCACCTCTGCCTCTGTCAGGAAAAATGAAACCACATGAATTATTCATATTCTAACATCTAATATTTGTTATTGCTTAAGGAAAGTCTGAAAACTATTTGCACCTTTGGCAACATGCTTCTGGTGTTCTAGGGCCTAACCGATTAGTAATCCTAACTGGAGTAAACCCATTGAATCAATTGCTCCATGCTATGACGTATTGATTTAAATCCTAATGGTTCAAGATGTCTACTCTAGCTGGACAAGCAGTTGGATTTAGCCATGAATGTGGCTTCTTTTTGTCTGCGTTTCCAAACCCAGAAAGAATTCCAAAGTTACTGAATGTCAGGTGAGCACAAGGCTGGAATGTTATCTCAAGAAAGTGACTGGTTAAAGATGCTAAATGGATGCATCCCCAAGAACACAGGAAGCAGCCTTACATTAAGTCAAACCATTGGCCCTTACACCCAAGTGTTATCACCACTGCCTGGGAATCTCTGGCATTCTCAGGCAACTTCCCATCAAAACATATCAAGGGCCTGATCCTGCTTATCTTCCAAAGTCAGACAAACTCAGGATGGTAATAGTAATATGGTAGAAGTAAGACTGCCAGTAATTGAGAGCATATTTTGGAATGACAGTTTCTGCATACATCTGTGGTGATTGCATGTATGTAAATATGTTCCTTTGCTATTGTTTGGATTTGATTCTTAACAAGCTTTTATTCCCTTCTTTCCTCTCTCCTTTCACCCATGGAAGAGTATGCAAGAATTATGCTTTTCATTCATCTAACTCTTTCTAGCTGGGCTTATTTGTAGGGTTGCCAGATTTCCAAAGACCAATTCTTGTACCCAAGAGGCTATTGGGAGGAAAATTTCCTGGACATCCTGGACACCAACCAACGAGCGTGACCAGACAGCCAAGGACTGCCCAGGGTCCAGAACCAGACAGTGCATAGATTGTTGCCCTGCCGATGAGCACGCTGGCGGTCAGATGTATGAGGAGCGCTCGTCAGGCGCAGGTGCGCTGGGTTGCTGACCTGCTGATTAAGAGACTGGTGGTCAGCTGAGTGGAAGGGTTGTGGGCTGGGGGATCTGTCTAATGGGGGCAATGACCACAGCTTCAGTATTGGAGAAATGAATGGGCAGATTGCAGCCCTTTCAGAGCTGCGGGTAATAAGACTTGATGTGGATGTTGTCCTGGGCACTGAACTAAACAAGCAGTTACTGTACTGTCCAAATCAATCACGGATATCTGGCAACCCTATTTTGAATTTAGCCTTGGCTTAATCTGAGCCAGTGCTTAAGGAGGCTCAGCCTGAAAGTGGGTTTGCAATGCCAGGGTCAGCCTTGATCTATGTGATTTCCAAAATGGAAAGCAGAGTATATGTGCTTCTTGAGCACACAGAGATCATCTTTCCACACTGGGGGTCAAACCAGATGATGAGGGGGGAAATTATTTCCTCCACTTAGGCTGTTTTCCCTCCCACAATGCTGTTTTCTCAAGAGATACTATACGTCTGTGATCAGTTTGGTAAATTAAGACCATGTTTACCTTCCAATGGTATAAACTAAGCATGATAAAAGTATGACATGTCGGTGGTGAAAATCATGTACAGACATGTTTTGTCTCTTGGGGGATTCACTTCTAAAACTGTGCCATTTATTATATTCATCCAGTTTGACCCTGAGTGATCACAGACAATGCCAATTTATTTGGGATTAAGATTTCTTTTTAATGAAGAATTGCATGTGGATTGCTTAGGCAGAAGAACTATTTTCTAAACTTGCATGAAAAAACATCCATTTACTTTTTCCAGAATTCCAATGGGTCCTTTTAATGCTAGTATAATTGCTATTTTATTCCAAGCCTCACTTGTTTGTGCTCCTGCATCTGTTACACTGCAACATGAACTGCCTTAAGGGCCTCTTGTGTCCAGATTAGGTAGAATATAAATGTGAATTAAATAAATGGGCGTTGAAGTCTGCGGGTGCAAAACATAGTTAATTTACTTTTCACATGTTTGTGAAAAGCTGATGGATTATCTGCATTCTGTAATTTTTTCTGTGGGTTGGCCGCATATTTGCAGGGAGAAATTTGCAGAGGGACATTCAAAAGCATCTTCTATGCTTATTCCTCTTGCATGACAACTAACAACTGTATATGCTGGTGCTGTAGAGGATGAAACTTATGTGTTTATGACAGAGTAACATATACATCAGTAGAAGTATTCAAGGCTTATATAATGGTATGATGGCAAGAATGACAGCACAAACTGAAAGGCTAGACATTTTTTTCTCCTAAAAATCAAGGTAAGTAGAATTCCTGGGGAATTCTGCTGAA